TTGACGACGTGAGCGTGGGCTCTGTGGCAGCGCCGCAGAGCGCAGGCATTGATTTGCCATCGTCGTCGTGTGCAGGATGATTTCGGGTTTCCCGCTTGCTTTCCACAAGGCGCAGCGGGGTCTGAAGTCGCGTGGATCGGTTGCAGGCCCAGGGCTGGTACCGAGGATGTTGTCGCCACCATCGACGGGGAGGTCGTGGAGCTGCTCGCGCTCACCGTGACGTACTTCACAGCCGACGTGGTGTCAGTGACGCAGCTCCAGGCGCGCATCGACCTCGCCAATCACTTTGCTATTCTCATCGTGGCCTGGTGGCCATTTCTCAGCGAAGTTTGGGCCGCCCTGCGCGACGCGGGGGGCGCGGGCTCCAGGGGGTCGCCAGCGCACTTCGTTTGGGCGAGGCAGATTCGCCCAGCTCTCCAATGGGTGAGGGCGTTCCTCGCGAAACAGCGGAGCGCCCTCCAGATGCGGTTCCGCAAGGGCGCCTTCTGGAACCAGGGCGCGCCCGTGATGGTCGTGGGCGACGCTTCTCCATGGGGGCTCGGCGCCTACATCGTGATCGACGGCGTGATCATCGAGTACTTGGCCGCCCCGCTCAACGACTGGGCTGCCGGCTATCTGAATGCCCCCATCGGCTCGTGCACCGGCCAGCAGGCGTGGGGGGCCTTGGACTTCGTTCTCGCTTTGCGCACGTGAAAAGCACGATGGGCGACTGCGCGGATGTCTTTGGAGGTGCGCGCTGATTCGGTTTCGGCGCTCACGCTGGTCGCGACCTTGCGGGCTCGAGGACCAGCCCTCGCAGCCATTTTCCGCGAGTGCGCCCTCGACGTCGGCGACGGTGCATTCCTTGTTCATATTCGCTGCCACACCCCCGGCGTGGCGTCCCACGTGGCAGACGCGCTGTCCCGCAAGTTCGACAACAAATTGGCCCAAACTCCTCGTGAACGCCTTGGAGGTCTTCCCGCGCGCGCTGGACGCGGATTTCTTCACCGCCTCCTCCCCCCTCGTGCACAGGACGGCCGGCCTGGGGGAGCTGGAGAAGTTGCCGACGGACGAGCAGTACCAGTGAATTTGGGGAGGTTCTCGTTCGGCGAGGGGGCGGAGGGGTGCTTGTCAATGATATGTCTTTGGCAGCCAACCAGCCCGCGACATCATTGCTTATCGCGTGCCTGCTTGATTTTTTTGCGTCGGCGGCTAGACAGAGTGACCGCGCTGGCGGATTATTTCGCATCTCGCCGAGCGGCGACAACGCCCGCCGCCAGGCTCCAAAGGGGCCCGATATCGCATGTCGTCTGCATGTCGTCATCGTTGCGGGCACCAGGGTGACGACGTGCACGCGACATGCGTGTGAGGGGCCCTCGTGGGGCTCCTGGCTCCTCCTCCTCCTCCCATATGCGTGAGGAGGGCGCCATGGGCCATTTGGGCCCGTCGCGCAACCTAGGGTGCGGGTGCTCAAATGCCCGCCTCTGCGCAGGGTTGCGCCCACTAGTTGATGGAAGGCAGGAGTGCTCCGTCATCGGACAGGGCGTTCGCTTGGCCTCCTTCCCGCAGGTGCGGTCTTATTGGGGGGTGGCCCAGGCGACCGCCCTGTCCGCCTAAGGCCATCTCCCGCTGGCGGCCGAGGTGGTCCGAGGCCATCTTGGCCATGCATCGGCGGTATGGCCTTATTCATTTACCAGACAATTTTTTTGTGCCCCTTTCCGCTTGCGGCTAAGATTGTATCCTAAGGTGTAGGGGGCCCCATGCTTGCCCAGGGGGTGATCGACATGGGGGGTGGCAAAAAAGGGGGGGTTAACCTCCGAGGAGCCGAACCGTGCGCAGCGCGTTCGGGGTTTAGGGCCGTCCGTGTGGTAAGTGACCGTGTCTCGGCCTCCCTGTGGCATCAGGACCTAGATCAGGACATTCGTTTCCCTAGTTACAGCTCTCTCTGCCACTTCATTGCCTGCAGTGCTCATCGTGTCGGCTCTTTCTGGTTTGTGCTCACCCTCACCGTTTCCGGGTGCACGGGGGTGCTCACTTGTGGGCCGAACTATGGGAACCGTTTTCTGGTTACCTGAGGCCTTGGTCCGGGATGCCTTTTCGCGTCTCTCTTGGTCGTGCCCACCCTCCCGTTTCCGGGTGCAGGGGGATGCGCATTTGTGGGCCGAACTGTGGGAACCGTTTTCTGGTTACCTGAGGCCTTGGTCCGGGATGCCTTTTCGCGGCTCTCTTGGCCGTGCTCACCCTCCCGTTTCCGGGTGCAGGGGGGTGCTCACTTGAGGGGCGCATTGTGGGAACTGTTTTCCGGTCACCTGAGGCCTTGGTCTGGGGTGCCTCTGCCAGGCACTGCAGGGCCGAACTATGGGAACCGTTTTCCGGTCACCTGCGACCTCGGTCCGGGAATGGTGACCCCGTTCCCCCGCCGTGCTGTCCCGCATGGACGCCCAGGCGGCGCGCGGCGCCGTGCTCCTCCTCCCCGTTTCCGGGTCGGAGGGGGGTGCGATTTCGTTCGAGAGGGCCTCCTTGCTGTCCGTAGCCATCGGCTCCAGCCTCGACGCTCGCTGCCTCGCGCGCGCGCGTGCGGAGGCCATGGTGCGCACTTTCGGAGGCCGCATGGGCAGCCTGGCGCCGATGGACAGGCGCGCCGCTGGATACCGCCACACCTCGCCGCGGCCCATGGTCACGACGCGTGGCGCGGCCGCAGCTGTGCAGACCGCTGCGGCTGCTGTGCGGGAGCGGTCGCGATCTCGGCCAGTTCCGAGCGCTGTGCTTGGCGCCGGTTCTGGCGCCTCCTCCTCCTCCTCCTCCTCCTCCTCCTCCTCCTCCTCCTCCTCCTCCTCCTCCTCCTCCTCCTCCTCCTCCTCCTCCTCCTTCCGTTGCCATTTTGGCTCAAGTGCCACCAGCGGCAGCGCTTTTCGGCCACTGAGCGGGCAGCTCCTCTTGAAGGGGCCATCCTGGTGTCGAAACCAGGCGGACACCTACCCTTGCCCTTCTACACTCAGGCGGCCATGGCGCTTCCTGCGGCATCTGTTGTCCCACAGGCGACTTCGCTCGAGCAGAAGTTCGATGCGCTGCTGGGGAGAATGGATGGCATGTGCAATGACGTCGCTCATGTTGCTTCATTGGTTGGCAAGTTCGACCAGCTCAAGAGCACCGTCGATCAACATGCTGCACTTTTTTCGACAATTCAAGCGGACCTTGCTGCCTTGCATGCCAAGTTCGAGAGTGCTGCCGGGGGTGGCAGCAGTGGGAGCTCGGTTGCTGGGAGCAACACGAGCTGGAGCATGCTCGGCTCCACTGGGTTCAAGCGGGCTCGTCGCGCAGAGTCTGCACCGCCGCCCAGTCGCCCGCACGACCCGTGCAAGATCTGGATTGGTGGCTTCCCGAGGAAGCTGATGGGTGCGCAGTTCCAGGCACACTAGAACATGATCAAGACGCTGACGAGCCAGGCCGTCTACGAGGCCGCGATCCCCCGCTTCTACAACTTGCAGTACGCCTACTCAGTGACCTTCCAGTCCGAGGAGCAGGCGAAGGACTTCATACAGCTGTCTCGCGTCAACGAAGCCAAGATGGTCTGGGCCGACCCGAGGGGCAACTCGGCCAAGCAGCTGCGCGCAAGGCCGGACCAGACCCTGGAGGTCAGGAACAAGCAGAAGGTACTCGGCAAGCTCTGGGAGCCTGTACTCGCTGAGCTGAAGAAGCACACGAGGTGGTCGCCCGAGTTCAAGCTGGGCACCAACGGGCCGAAGGGGATCCTCTTCGTCACCTGCCCGAACGACGTCTGGGATCTATTCAACCTCGAGCAGGGGCCTGGTGAGACGTTCAGCATCGTCCCGATCGAGGAGAACTTGAAGGAGTGGAATGTCTCGGTTGGGAAGTATCAGGAGATGATCGCCGCCGCCTCCGCGTAGGAGGCATGCCTGCCGTGCAGCAGGCACTCTGTTCTTTTGCGCTCTGCAGCTGGCTCTCCTGCTTCGTCCTCCGCTCTCCCTTCCAGCGCGCCAGGTGTTGATGGTGCGCCTCCCCCTCCTGCGAAGAGAGCCAGGGTGGGTGGAAACGCTGGCATGCAGCGGGCTGGCAGGCCATTTTCCGACAGCTCTTCTTCCTCGTCGTCCTCCTCCTCGTCGTCGTCGTCGTCTTCTGCCTCTTGTGCGCGATCCAGGTGTTTTGCATTTTCTCCGCCCTGTCCGATGAGTATTTGCAGCTGGAATACCCATATTCTCCATGGAGGTGTCTCTGGCTCCCACGGGCTCCAAAGGCGAAAGCAGGCTAAACTTCGTTACCTGGCAGAAAGACATACCGTTTTGCTCCTGCAGGAAACTCACGGGACCCATGGTGATGATGGGACCCTTCGGCGCCTTCTCCCTCAACATCGCTCGTTCACCACCTACTGCTCCAACCCTCAGGCTGGCGGCTGTGCTATTATCGTTCAGAAGTCCTTTTTGCGTCACTTTCAATTTGTGCGACCCCGAGTTCATCAGGCGGGGCGTCTTCACTCGATCATGCTGTCTGGGAGGAAAGGGTGCTTTCAGATATTGAATATTCACCTCGATCCTGAGTTGACGGTTGCTCGGAAAAGGGAGGTAATTGCGTGTGCTGCTCGTGTATTGAAGCCCCCGCGCGAAGCCGTCGCGGTCTTCGGAGGCGATTTCAACTTTTATGCAGCTGGCGAGACCCGGCAGTATTTGGATGGGAGGAGGGCGGCAGGGAATGCGTCTAACAACTATCGATTGGATGATTTTTTCTGCTCCAAGCTGCCGCACTTGGTTGAGGTAGAGCAAGAGTGGCCCACTCACATTCGCAATCGAGATGGATGTCCCGAATCGGTTGGTCGACTCGATCGTATCTATCTGAACCTGTACACCTCCACCCTACTCGACCTCCACCCCACCTCTGGCGTACATGGGAGTGTATTTGGGGCCTCGAACTGTAGCGATCATATCCCTGTCTTTGTTGGGCTGACGCCGAACGCCACCGCTCGACATGGGGTACCCTCCTGGATTGCCAAGCACCCACGGTTTCAGGACTACGTCGAGAGCATTCGGGCTGAGGTCGACTTGTCCGATGACCCGATCTTGAGGCTTCCTGAAATCAAGTCCCTGGCATTTGCGGCCAAGCAGGCTGTCCTGGACGAGTTGGCGGAGGCGGTCCCAGTGTTACCCATTCAAAAGATCTCCTGGATGCTGGCAACTCAGAGGGCCATTACGAGAGGCGACCGTCGAGTCTTGCGCAAAGCTTGCCGTGGCTTCCCAGAGCTGCTCGAGTTTGTAGACATTGATGCAGCCCAGTATATCGACTTTGATAAGTTTCACCAGCTGATGAACCAGCTGAACTCGGAGCACGTGGATGCGATGCAGGGTGAAAACCTTGCCAGCGACGAGGCCCCTAGCAAGAAGCAGGCTCGAGCTGAGGCATTACGCAAACGGCAGGCTGGGTGGTCCCCCAAACATCGTAAGGTTGGCCTGGCACAGATTCGTGATCCTCGTGGGCTCCCCATTGTTGACCCCCGAGAAGGTGCCCGAGCGCTCCGCGATCACTGGCAGCAAGTCTTTGATGAGGTTGAAGTTCTTCCTGAGGCCGTTCGAGCTTATTTACCCTTTGTTCAGAAAACCATCCCGAATCCTGTGGTTAAGATGCCGTATCATGAGTATATTCATCTTTTGGAAAAGCTCAAGGACTCCGCAATGGGCCCCGACGGGCTTCCCTACTCTGTCTGGTTCTGTGGGGGAAGGATCTTTCATGAGGCACTCTACGAGCTGTATGAGGCTCTGCTTGCAGGTGCTAAGCTACCTGACCAGTTTAACCTTGCCCTCAGCGTCTTCCTGCCGAAAGGGACTGAGCGCGAGGACCAGTACGTGATCACTCGCCAGCCGTCCGTCACTCGACCAATAGCCCTCAGCAACACCGACAACAAAATATTAAGTAAAATGATAGGCTGGTACCTTGCCCCGATTGCGTCGGTCACGGTCGACCACAGTCAGAGAGGCTTTGTAGGCGGGCGCCAATTAGCCGAGAACATTATTGAGCTTGAAGCAGTCATGCTCCGCTGGGTTTCAATATGCGGCGAGAAGGAAGGCGGCCACGCCTTCTTCGATGTCGCCAGCGCCTTCCCCTCGCTGGCCCACTCGTTTATCTTTGCCGTGCTGCGCGAGATGGCTCTTCCACCAGCGATTGTTTGGGCAATCCGAGAGCTCTATCGGGACATCTCGATGATCGTGTCGTTCAGAGGCGTCCAGGAGTTCATGATTCGCTGTGCTCGGGGGGTTAAGCAAGGTTGTCCGCTTTCTGGGCTGATTTGGGCGTTATGCTTCGACCCGATCATTCGCAAAATGAAGTTTGAGCTTTCTGGATTTCAGGTTCGGCTCGGAGTTTTTGCAGATGATCTTGGATTAGCCGCGCGCCACTTCTTCCAGTGCTTCCCTGTAGTGATGAAGGAATTCGCCCTCGTCCTCCAAGCGGCAGGTTTGAAAGTCAACACCCACAAAACCTACATCATTATCTACGCCGACCTCACCAAAGCCCAGGTTCTGGAAAAAATGAATGCTGCTGGAGTGGAGGGGGAGGATTTCAAGATAGTTGCCGCTGCTAGGTACCTGGGGCTGTTCCTTGGTTTCAACAGCGCAGAGGCCTCGTGGGCCCACCCGATTGCTGAATTTCGGAAGAGGATCTACCACGTCAAGAGCTTGAAATTGGGGCTTCTGGCAAGCCTATCGGCCTACAACATGGTTTGTTTCTCCGTATTGAGTTTCGTCGGCCAGTTCCTGCCCCCGCCTCAAGAGGCCCTCAGGACAGTCCGCGAAGGTCTCCAGTCTCTCACGAACGGCCCGAGGCACGCGTTCCCGCCGCTCGTGCTGCAGCATTTAAAGGAGATTGGTGCGCCGGTTGAGCCGCGACACCTCGAGCTTGAATGTCGAGCTGCTGCTTACAGATTGGCAGTTCGCAGTCCACAGGTTTACCTGGAGCGCTTGGCATGGGAGGAAGCCGAGGCCGATGATGAGCGCGTTCTGGCTCCGAAGTACCGGGCCTGGGTAAATCAGTCTATCTTCATGCATCTCTCGAAAGTCCAAGAAGAGTTAGAGGTCGTACACAGGTGCCCATACGACCATGTAGAATCTAACTTGCAGCGGAAAGTCTACAAGCTATTATACTCGCGGTCGCAGATTCCCTCGATGCCCCAGTTATTACTGCCTAGGCTCCAGCACTTCGACCCCTCAGCCACCATTGCAGATGCCGATCGGATGTTCTTGAATATCAGTACCCTCGCTCGTGACTTGCCCTTCTTCATCACGACTGCTCAGCTCAGAAGTATCTGTAACGGGTGGTGTACTACCCGCAGGTTCAGGCACAATGGGGGAGGGACGGGAAATTGCAGATTTGGATGTATGGCGGTTGGAGGCGATTCTGTTCTTCACTATTATGCTTGTCCTGTAGCCGTGAATGCCCTGAAGCAGCTAGTTCCTAGCCTGCCAGCCTGTTTTTCTGATATTCCCCCCCTGCATCGTCTCCTGTTGCACAAAGTCTGTTTCGATAGTCGTCGGCAGTTGCATGCTCTAGGACTCTCTTCTGACCTCCTTCTCACCTCCTTCAATGCCCTGCGCGCGCGGGATCGGATTTCGTCCCCCCAAACCTTTTCCCTAATGGAGGCCAGGTGCAGGGCAGTGGCGAAGACGGACAGCAGCGTCCGCGCCCTCCTGCAGCCGCACGGCGAGGCGGGATGACACGCGGCCCCCCCTTGGAGCGTTCCCTCCTCCTCCTCCTCCTCCTCCTCCCCCCCGCGTCACCTTCGCCGGTCGCTGGCATTATCCACGTCATAAGGGGATCGCCGCGGGGCCCCGCCGGGTGCCCCCGCGCGGAGGGGGGTCCAGGGCGCAGGCACTCGCAGCGGCAGCCGACCCTGTGGCCTTCGCCGCGGCTCAGGAACGCTAGGTGCAGGATCAGGACTCGGCCAGCGGCGCGGCCACGAGGATGTTTTACCTGCGCGCGTTGGAAGAATTGCACGTGGCCTACCACGACGCGCTCATCGGGGAGGCTGGGCTGGCGCCGCTGGTCTTCCCGCTGACGCCGGAGTCTCTCCATGGCGTGTGTTCTCTTCTTAAGGCTTGCGGATGTCGTTCGTGCGAGGGGCACGTATCCCACGCGCCAAACACCACACCATCGGCATCGGCTACGACTGGACAGCAGGTCTGGCGCAGGCGCAGGCACAGGCCGGTCGAAGCAAGTGCAGGGGGAGCGGCCCTCCAAAGCAAGCTGCGTCCCTTCGTCTTGAGCTCTGGCGACGCTGTCATTAGACGACGAGCCGCTCGTCTTCGGCGGGCCCGTCGGGGCAGGTAACCTCAGCGCTGCTGGATCTATGTTTTGCCTCCGTGAGGTCGAGGCGTCGCTGGCTCTCCGTGGGCATGTCATCTTCGACCACGCGGCCAGGTCAGTATCCTGGATCCTGCTTTGTTCGAAGACCGATCCGGGCGCAATGGGGACGAGGCGCACCTGGGGGTGCGTGTGCTCACACTCGCGCCCTGCTGCCGTGACCGAGCCGTGCGCTTATCATGCACTCGCGGCCCAGGACCAGCTAGTCAGGCGCATGTTCGGCGACGAGCCTTCCATGCCGCTGTTCCCCAGGCTCGACGGCAGCACCACGTCAAAGGACGCAGTGGTTCGTGCGATGGAGGCCGTCGCCGACCGGATGGGGCTACCGCTCACCACGCCCGCTGGGGAAAGGGCGTTCGGAGGGCACTCTCTGCGGGTCCCTGGCGCTCAGCGGCTGGCAGGCCGCGGCGCCCCTCTCGTCACCTTCCAGCTGCTGGCGAGGTCTTCGTCCAACGTGATCGCCCGGTACGTGGCCGAGGCCCCGCTGTTGGCCCCGACCGAGCAGTGCCTAAAGTCGTCCGCTTTATATTGGACCTGTCCGGGGTCGTCCAGGCCCAGGAGGCGGCGCGCGCGGAGCTGCCGGACGATGTCGCCAGGCTGGACAGCGAGACGAAGCGTCCCGTCGAGGGGGAGCGCCACTTCCAGGACCCCGTGATGCGGTGCTCTCCGGCCAGCGCTCAGAGGGGCGCCCCGCTCGTGGTCTCTCCACGACGCGTGGCGTGTCTTCCAGCGTCGCGCTTCTACCTGGAGATGCCAGCGCACGGGTGGACAGCCCGGTGCGGCTGGAGCTCTGCGTTCAAACCATACCAGGCCGCCGCCGCCCTCCGGCCAGACATGAAGCTGTGTCGTCCGTGTTGCCGCCGCCCTGCGGGCACCGATGATGACGACTTATCGGCTGATGACGCATGAGGGCGTTGTCTACAGGAGGGGGTCCTGGTCTTACCTTCGCGTGCCTTACCTCGCTGATGCTGACGTGGGGTACAGGGGAAAAGGAGGACAAATCCCAGAACCCGCCTCACTCAGCAGCTTCGGCCCTCGAAGACACGATGCCATCATCTTCGCCTCTTCGGGATGGCGGTCGGGCTGGCACGGCGGGCCGTTAGAATCTGGATCTGCATGCAAAGCTTTTTGATGATAGCGCCGGTGTTGCCCTGGTGTCATGCAGCTGCGTCCGAAGAGGCGCCGAGCCAGACATCTTGATGCTTAACGCGAGTGGCAACCTCCACGTCAGCTTGTTGGTTCGAAGTTGCGTTGGTGGACTGCTGGACGGTGGCCTCGGTCCGCTGCCCAGGCTTGTCCACTTAGTTAGTGTTCGAGAGCCGGAAGGTTGTCTTCAGCGGTGATCATGTGTTTTTTCGTTACGCTTCGGGAATGACGGCCAACTCTAGCATGGCGGGCGGCATGGCCTGTTTAGTGCCTTCAGCAAGTGCGAAGGTTCAGGGTTCGCTTCTTGCAGTCGAGCTTCTGGCAGGGACCTCGTTGGTCTTGGCGATAGGTGGCATGGCTGCCAGCATACCCGTCGGTCGTTGAATGTAGGTATTCTTGGATTGCCAGATCCCAATCTACTTTAAGCGCCTTCCTACTTCAATGACCGATATGCTTTTGCTTGTGTTATTCCTTGGGAGGGCCTGAGCCCAACCAACTTTGTCCGCCTGATTACAACCTGTTTTTACCTACTTCCTCCGACGTGTACTGCGAGCAGAAGTACCTTGCGTGGGCTGCTTCACCTTGGTGGCGAATTGGACTTTACTGTACTGCACCTCCTCGGTACCTGAGCCGTCGGTGGCTGGTGATGGTCCGTGGTGTGGTGTCGGCGCTGATCTGCCAGTCGTTGGCTTTGGGGAAGCATCATCCTTGACGATCTCTCAGAGGAGGGAAAGATACCCATACTGCGACCTTTCTCTTGTTTTCCCCTTTTTGGGCCTCCTGGGAGGCCCTCGTCGCCACCGGTGGATATGCTTCGGAATCCTGGTCCGAACGCATCCCCGGAGAGGTCCGGGGAGTAGCGGTATCGGTACCTCTTGGTTTCCCCAATGGCGCATCAATGATGTTGCTTGGCATTTTAGCTCCCCATGGTGAAGTTCACATTCCGCTTCCTTCTGGGCGACATCCAGGGCGCGATCCGCGGCAAGGCAGGCGGGGTCTTCGGTCGATCTTTCACTTGAGTACGGCGATGCTGCCCGATGCGTCACGCACCGCGATGGCCTTGGCTTGACGCCTTGGATTCGATCCACGCTCTTGTTCATGAACATGAATACGACGCTGATGTTACCTATGACGACGACTGTTCTGGTTATGGTAGGGAGGGCGAAGGAGGGGAATGGCGGGGGGGGATGGAGGGGCGAAAGAGGGAGGAAGATTGGGACGGGTACGCCAGGCCACTGCGACAGCGCACGGCAACGGCAGAGAACGACACCGCGCATCAGGCGGAGGGAGCACGTGACCAATCGGCTGTGCGGCAGAGCTTCAACAGACAGAGTGCGCGCATTCGGTCGGACCGTGAGTGTCCACGAGGAGGACCTGGTGCCAGCGTGGGCGCCTTGGCGAGGGCCGCCTAGTCTAGTCTAGAGGTTGGGGCACCCATGGGGGGAACCCCTTCCCTACAGGGAGCGGTGGACCCGCCAGCCGAGACTTTGGTAGCCAGCAATCGAGGCGAACTGCGCGGATAAAACTGGACGTGGTAGAGATGGGTCAGCCAGCACGGCCACGGCAAGGGCCCTCGCCCTGAGCGGATCGTGGCGTCGCCAGCGGTGCCCGCTGACAGCCTCGACGCTCAGGATGGCGAGGGGCTGGTGGCAGGTGTCAGGGTCGAAGCCGTGTCAGTTGTCGTGAAAGGGGCTGGTCTGGGCGATGGCGTAGCTACCGCTGGTGGACCCGCTCAAAGATGCGGGCCTGTCTGGGCGCGGGCCTGGCAAGCCTCGACTCTGCTTAGCAGCGGTCGCCGTGCTGGCCGCTGTGGGGCTCCGTCGGCTGAGGGCCGCGCATGGCCTTCGGTGACGATCGCGTGTATGTGGAGCTCCCCTCCTTGGTGAGCGAGGCGGTCTGCCAGTCGTTGCGTATCGTAGGTTTGTGGCTTGCCGACGCGGCAGCATCCCTGCTATGGGCGCTCAAGAGCGAGGGCCGCCACCGGCCCAGAGTCGGCGAATATGGAGCGATCTGGCCATCGAAATGCCGCCGATCGTGCGTCGCGGCACAGGCCGACCGAAGCGCACGGCGGTCCTGACTGGGCCTGCCTACGGGACGTGAAAACGACCACAGCCACTGCTTTTCTTTTGTTGCCGCCTTCCAGCCAGCAGAAACAAAGCAGTGGCTGTGGTTATTTTCGTTAAGCTTGGCACCAAGGAAATGGCCGCAACCACTGCTTCTTTTTCGGCCGGCTGGAAGGCGGCGCAAACAAAAAGCACTGGCTGTGGTCATTTTCCCGTCCCGCACTGCCGCCGCCGCTGAGCCGCTTGGCGGACGTCGGCCACGACCACCGTGCCCGGCCCCGCTGGCGGGGCCGAGGCACGGGCGGCCCCCGCTCGGCTGTCGGGCGGGGCGCGGGCACCTCTGGCCAGGGGAGGCTGGTGCGTCCGCGGCGCGGAAGCCCCGTGCCAGCGGCTGGACGTGCGGTGGGGCCCAGGGCAGCGGGGGGGGGGATGGGAGGGAGGAGGAGGAGAGATGGGGGGGGGGGAGGGAGGGGGGGGGGGAGGGAGGGGGGGGGGGAGGGAGGGAGGGATGAGGGAGGGAGGCAGGGATGAGGGAGGGAGGGAAGGGGAGGGCGGGAGGGGAGAATCGGGAGGTGTGAGGGAGGGGGAGGGAGGGGAGATGGGGGAGGGAGAGCCCGAGAGGTCCTGTCGCGATCCGTAGGACTGCGCCCCGGACGGCGACGCTGCCCGCCGGCGCGGCCTCGCGACATCTGGACCCGCCGCGGCCGCACCTGCAGGCCCGCCGCCAGCTGCTGGGGCAGCTGGAGCTGTCGCCCGCCGGTCCTTCGTGCGTCCCCATCTCTGGGGCCTCCTCCCCTCCATGCCCCCCCCCCCTCGTCCTTGTGGTCCTCCCGCTCAAGCTCCTCCTCTCCCGTCTCGCCTCCCTCGCTGTGCTTCTGGTTCTCCCCCTCCTGCTCTCCCACCCCCTCCCGCCCTCTCCTCCCTCCCCCCTCTTCCTCCCCCCCCTCTTGGGCTCACGTCAAGCTGCTGGCACTCGCGCGGGTCCCGAGCGGCCATCTTCGCCGTGGTGGGGCACGAATCCAGAGGGCGGCTGCTTGCCTCCATCCTTCGGGTGGTACAGCTCGCGAGCGGGAGCCTGCTGTGAATGTCTGGCCCGGATGCGGAACGCATTCCAGAGTCACAGGGACGTACGTTACCCTGTTCGCGCCCCGTCTGGCGCACAGCGTATTCTACCAGGCGTGTCGTGGCAGGAGTCCATCCTGCGGGCGACCATGGGGGGGGGTATTGGGAGGATCGTGTGGATGGTGGGCAGAAGAGGTCACTTTACACGCTCTCCTGCAGTTCTGCAGAGGTTGTTGGAACAGCAGCTCCTCCACCGTTATTTTATCCTCTAATGGACTACTCGTGGTGCCATACAACAATCTCGTTTTCTCCGATCCCTCCTTCGTCGCCCAGTTCGTGTCCCCTACCCCTCGCGTGCTGAAAATGGAGCGGGAATGAGTAATGGTGGTAGCTGGAGGCCCTCACAATACATAGTCCCCTGCGCTGCTTCGTGGTCTCAAGCTTATCAGCTTCGCTGTCCAGGCTCGCTCACGCTCTCTCGCCTCACGCGCTGCAGTGTTCCGGATCTCGGTGTTGAGGGCGCTTTGGGGAAATCCGAAGATAGACGGCGTCATCTGTATTTCACATCGAAGTAGCTGCATTAGACATGGCATTAGCAACGCTCCGACAAGCTTACAAAAAGTAGTTCAGTTAATCATCACTCCTAGGAGGGGCGATTCGCGCAACAAAAATATTGAGCGCCATCCCTGACATCCCAAGCGACAGGGTTGCAATTGTTTTTCCTCGCCTCGCTCCTTTGCTCCCTCCGTGCGTCCTCTCGACTCTGCTCAGCACGTCGTGCAATGGATAGTGTACAACGGCTAGGGTCCAAGGCGCCACGCTGCCCTGTCTTGCATGTGGCGCGCATGCTGGAGAACACGCTGCCGCACGTTCTAGAGTGACCTGGACTTTCGCAGATTTATCTTGTCCTTCCTGTTCTTCCCTTCTCTTTCTTGCTGGCTGCCGGCCACGAAAGAGTGAATGTGTGTGGCGATGCGCGTGTCTTGTGGAGGTTATCCAACTGATCGTGTATATGGTGTTTTGATTTGAATCTGCGATGTGCGTCAGAATGCATGACACGAGTGTCAGCATACCAGATGTGTTCAGAGGAAACGGAAAGCCTGTCCAAACCGAGGATTCAGCAAGTCATCCGATCTGAAGTGCGATTGCACTATCTTTTCGGCAACTTTATGTTATGGGCCTTGTGTGTTATTTAATCGCTTCGCTCATTCCGCCAGTCCATACTGCCTGACCGCCATCGTTTGCCTGAATGTTCGGTGTCAATGCGGTGCTGCTGGGCGGCGGCCTTTTTCCCGAGGTGGTGCGTAAGGAGCGTTGGAGGTGAAGTAGTTGCTGTGGATCTGCATTCTGGGGGTTTCGTGGCGGACCCCTGCGGTGTTGTCTGAGCAATCGTGGGTTCTCATGGAGCTCGAAGGTGCTCTGCTTGTGCAGTTGTCGGGCTTATCACCCATGGATGTTCGCCCTGGAGCCATTTAGTAGACAGGAGCCACGCCATGTAAGCTTGGAACTTTTCTCTTGGAGGGTGGCGGTAACGCAGGCAACAAGCACCTTCTTCAGTCTCCTCTCCTGGTTCTATTTCCTTACTCCCCTTGCTTTTTTCCTACCGTGTGCGAGGGTGGCAGCGTAGAGGCTCGAGTGTGGACAGATGTGGAGCTCCTCCCCCCACGTGTGCGGTGGGAGGGGGATTGGGAGGATGATGATGATGATGACGACGAGAATGATGATGATGACGATACTGATGATGATGATGATGATGATGATGATGCTGATGATGATGAGGATGATGATGATGACGATGATGATGATGATGCTGATGATGATGAGGATGACGATGATGATGGGATGATGCCAATGCTTTTGATGCTGATTATGATGATGGCGATGGTCATGATGATGCTGATGCTGATGATGCTGATGATGTATGTGATGCTGATGATGACGATGATGATGGTGGGACGATGCTGATGCAGATGCTGATGCTGATGTTGATGATGGTGATGACCATGACGATGATGCTGATGATGATGCTGCTGACGATGATGATGATGCTGCTGCTGAATATGATGATGCTGCTGATGATGATCATGATGATGCTGATGCTGATGCTGATGATGATGCTGATGCTGATGCTGCTGCTGATGATGATGAGGATGAGGAGGAGGAGGAGGAGGCGACGGGGGAGGAAGAAGAAGAAGAGCAGGAGGATGAGGAGGAAGAGGAGGAGGAGGAGGAGGAGGAGGAAGAGGAAGAGGAGGAGGAGGAGGAGGTGTCCAGGACCCGAGTCTGAACGGTTTCTTAGCTGAGAGGAGCTACTCCTCGCCGTCGGCTGTCATTACCGTCTACCGCCACATGTTGTCATCGGCACCAGCCCTATCTACCACTATCTGTCACAGCCAGTCACCCTCCTCCCATCTAATGTGGGTTTCTGAGTAAGCGTGGGGGGGTACCCCCCGACTGGGGTCAACCTCGTCTCGTCGTCGCGCCGCGACGGGGGTCGGAGCGCCTTCGGCGCGCGGTGGCTGTCCGCGATGGGGGTCGATGTGGGGCTGTCGGCGGGGGTGACGCCCACCCGACGCTTACTAAGAAACTCGGAGTACCTATCCATGCATCCATCCATGCACACTTCCACACCCGCCATCATCCTCCCATCCGCCCACCATCCACTCCCCCCCCTTCCATGCCACGATATCGGCGCCCACCCCCGCGCCTTACCTCGCGTCTCCCCCATGACCGTGTTCATGCCCCATGCTGTTCCAAACTATCCACCCTTGTCGCTGTCCAGGGCCGCCGTCACTGCTGCCGCCTCGATCTACCATAAGGTGCCAACATCATCTAGAACCATGGCGCATGATCACCGTCAGCCCTCTTGCAATTCCACCACTGTGGTATCATCGTCTGTATGCTCCCTCAGCGCTCTGCAGCCAGCTGCCGCCAGCCGCAGGGACCCCCCGACGCGGCTGCCGGCTGGCGGCCCTGCGCGGCCGCGGCAGTGGCGTTGGCCGCGTTCGCCTTGGTGGGCTCGGCGACGCGATCAGTGGCTGCAAGCAAGAGTACGCAGGGTGCCGCCCGCCCTTTCCGCGGCGGCAGCCAGCCAGCAAGCAGGGCGTTCAGATCGAGGGTCGTGGCAGTTCCGATCGTGGCCGACGGCAGTGTCGACGCCGGCAGCGACGGTGAGGACAACGGCCAGAAACGCTTTTGAGGACGAGGAGTGATGGCGCCGAAGTCGGGGCGGACGAAATGGGGGGACGCGGGAAAAAGGGGAGGCTACGAAGTCTGCTGTGTGCAGCTGGTTTCCGCCGCCCCGCGCTCTCCTCAATGCATTGGCGCCTCTGGCGCTGGGAGTCGCAGGGAGCTGGTTCGCTTCCCCGTCCTTGTCTACCCCCCCCTATTTGCCTTATCCGCACCCCAAGCGGCTGTGCCCATGTGCCGGCGTGTTTCGTGCTTCGTGCTTCGTGCCCTTTCGTCCGAACGGACAGAGAGGCAACGTCAGATGGTCTTACGCAGCATGTGGTGGGAAAGAACCGGTCTATTGGGCAGGCACGGGTTTTGGTATGTTGGAGTCCTCTTTCTTGGCGGAGACGATGACCTCAGGATGGTCTCTGGACGTCTGCTTTGCAGTCGTGGCGGGCGAGTGGCGCAGAGAGCGACAGTGGGCAGGCCTGGATGTGCGCACATATCGCATCTGTCCCAAACTCTGAAGGAACGAGGCAACGAGGGTGGCAGTACGAGACGTCGGCGAGAATCATGCTGGGCGTTCGCCGGGGGGCTGCCAGCCGCGGCGGGCGCAGAGGCACGGCCGGCGGTGGCCACTCGTCTGGAAGTCCTGTCGCTCAGACCTGTCGCCAAGGCTGACTTGTCCGGTAGCAGATCCTGGGAGCCTGGTGTGCCCTCATAATTCTGTCTTTTGCGTCGATTAGTGCCGATTGGCGTTTGGGAGCAGATGAGATGGTGCCGATTGGGCGTCGGTCAGCGTCGACATGTCGTCGATGACAGGGGGAGGAGGGATAGGGGAATCGGATGAGGAGGAGGACTAGGAGGAGGAAGAGGAGGAGGAGGAGGAGGAGGAGGAGGAGGAGGAGGAGGAGGAGGGGGTGGAAGGAGGGGGGAGTCGGATTAGTAGGCAGATTATGATGATGATGATGATGATGATGATGATGATGATGATGATGATGATGATGATGATGATGATGATGATGATGATGATGATGATGATGATGATGATGATGATGATGATGATGATGATGATGATGATGATCATGATGATGATGATGTTGGTGTGGTGGTGGTGTTGTTATGATTATGATGTTGCTGATTTGATGCTGATACTGCTGCTGATGATGATTAATGCTGATGTTAATGCTGATGATGATGATGCTGACGGATGCTGTTGATGATGATGTGGATGATCATGATGACGCTGCTTGATGATGATGTGATGATGATGCTTATGATGATGACGACGTTGATTGTGATGATGATGCGGATGATGTTGATAATGATGCTGTGATGATGACGACGACGACGACGATGATGATGATGATGATGCTGATGCTGATGATGATGCTGATGCTGATGCTGATGCTGATGCTGATGATGATGCTGATGCTGCTGCTGCTGCTGACGATGATGATGATGATGATGATGATGATGATGATGATGATGATTATGATGATGATGATGACGACGACGATGATGGTGATGCTGATGATGCTGATGCTGATGCTGATGCTGATGCTGATGCTGATGATAATGATGCTGATGCTGCTTGCTGATGATGATGATGCTGCTGATGATGATGATGATGAGGATGAGGATGATGATGATGATGATGATGATGATGATGATGATGATGATGATGACGATGATGATGATGCTGATGCTGATGATGATGATGATGATGATGCTGATGATGAGTATGATGATGATGATGATGTGATGGTTGGGTGGTGGTGGTGGTGGTCGGTGATGATGATGATGATGATGCTGGTGGTGGTTCGGTGATGATTGATGATGATACTGATGATGCTGCTGATGATGATGCTGAGGATGATGATGTTGATGATGATGCTGATGATGATGATGATGACGATGATGATGTTGATGATGGTGTGATGATGATGAGATGATGATGATGATGCTGATGCTGATGCTGAAGTATGATGAGATGATGTAGCATGATTATGATGATGATGGATGATGTTGATGATTGATTGATGTGATGATAATGATGTTTGATGCTGATGTTGATGGCTGATTCTGATGCTGTGCGGATGCTGATGCTGCTGCTGATGATGATGATCGGATGATGATGATGATGATGATGATGATGATGTATGATGATGCTAGCTGATGATGATGATGATATGATGATGATGTGATGATGATGATGATGATGATGATGAGATGATGATGCTGATGATGATGATTGTTGTGATGATGATGATGATGATGATGATGATGTGTGTGATGATGATGTGATTGATGATGATGTGATGATGCTGATGATGATGATGATGATGATGATGCTGATGATGATGTTGATGATGTGATTGATGATGATGATGATGATGATGTTGATGATGCTGCTGCTGCATGCTGCTGCTGTGAGGTGGGGAGGAAGGGAGGAGGATGGTGG